GATACAAAAATAACGACAGAACAATAAGAAAAATCACGACAAAAACGGTACAAACATTGCCTGAAGAACTTGGCAAACTGAAGCAGTTAAAATGGTTATATTTGTCTCATAACAAGTTGTCTGGTCCAATTCCAACTATTGTGGGACAACTTTCAGATTTGGAGTGGATTGACATATATGGTAATACTTTTGAAGGTACGCTCATAGAGGCCCCCTTTGAGAAGCTATTCAAACTTAAAGGATTTAGGACTAGGTCTAACATGTTAACATTCAGAGTGGGAGATGATTGGACCCCTCATTTTCAACTAAAATCCCTTTATATGTCATCTATTGATATCGGAGGCCAATTTCCACAGTGGCTTTAAACACAAAAATCACTACACTATTTGTATCTATCTAATTGTAGCATTAGAGGCATGCTGCCGAAATGGCTTCATTAAATAAAAAATATGACTGATTTAGACATATCCAACAACCATATTGATGGATCTATTTCAAATCTTCCTTTCATAATCCAAGATTGAGATCTATCAAATAACGTGATAACTGGTTCGATATCCCTTTCCTTATGCCAACTGAGAGATTTGTTTTATCGGCGTCTCTCCATGAATCTATTGTAAGGTCACCTTCCACAATGTTGGGCTAACTTATCTTACTTAAGGGTTGCAACATTGTCATCTAATAAGCTTTCTGGGCCCATTCCAAACACCATTAGTGGAGCTTACTCGTTGGGATGTTTGCAACTGAGTAACCACAGTTTTATAAGGAAACTCCCTCCAAATTTGAAAAATTGCACTCAGTTAATGGGTTTGGATATTGGAGACAACAAGTTATCAGGGAAAGTTCCAGAATGGATTGGAAACAATCTGCTTAATCTGGCAATTCTTAGGCTAAGGAACAACAAATTCTACGGAGACATTCCATCCTCTTTCTGTCAGATGTCCAAACTTCAAATAATGGACCTTGCAAACAACCAGTTGACCGGAAACATCTCACGTTCCTTTGGCAATTTTTCGGGAATGGTCCACAATAAAACCACTCGCGGTGAGTATTCATTCATATAACACTTTCATGATATTATTCGTGTATTCAACATTTCTTAGTTCGTTACTGATGATCTAAGAGTTAGTTGGAGGAAATGAATTTTTTTTAAAATTGTTCATTTTGATCACAAAATCAACTCTTTTTTTTTTTAAAAAAAAAAGGTTAGTCTTGTGGGGTGAGGTATTTTCCTCAAGTATAAGCAAAAAAAAAAAAGATTTATTTTTTTCAATAAAAGGAAGCTAAATGTGACTTGATCGTGACAGTGATAAACAGTAAATTTAGCAGTGATCGAGCAATGATCCAATTTTTTTTTAGCAATTTTTATTACAAGAATAGTTATGTAAACACTAGTATAGACATTGTTTGCACAAAGGAAAATATATACACAAAAAATGTCTGTCTTGTAGCAATTGAAAACTATGGGCTCAATGCATTAAGTGAAGTCTTGAAGGGAGTGGTGCTGGAGTATAGCGAAAATACACGATTCTTGGTCAATTGTGATCTTTCAAGTAATCAACAAGTTGGAGAAATCCCTTTGGAGCTGACAAACCTCACTGACTTGATCGGTCCCAATTTGTCTCATAATCATCTAAGAGGACAAATCCCATTGAAGATTGGAGATATGGTCTCTCACGAATCACTTGATCTTTCCAACAACTATTTGTTTGGAACAATTCCAGAGAGCTTATCGAAGTTGACCTTTCTGATTCATTTGAACTTGTCCAACAATAATCTGTCTGGGCGTATCCCGATGGGACCTCAACTTCAAACACTCAACGGAAGTTCGGATTATGAGGGAAACCCTGGACTATGTGGGGCACCATTGGCCCAACAATGCGATGTTAATAAAACATCGACAAAAGGTAAAAATAGTGGGGAGCATGGTGATGATGGAAATTCAGCCGATAAGTTATACCTCTATGAATTTGTAGTTGGTGGTTTTGCCATTGGATGCCACTGGATTATGGGGTTACTTTGGAGTTTTGATCTTAAAAAAGAGTTGGCGGCATACACTGTTCGGGTGGATAGATGCTCTGTTGAGAAAAATGATGGGTTGGAGTTAGACTGCTATAGCTTGAGTTTACAAGGGGACTTTGCAAATTTGTATCATATTGAATTGTCCTTTAAGTTGTATCCTTGTGTTTGATGTGATCTTTGTGGTGTGTTTGATGTTGGTGTTATATGTATTGTTTTAAGGGTTATAAGTTTGATGTGGATATTTTTTTTTGTTCATTTTTGTATAACTTGTAAAGTGTACGTGTGATGCACGTCATGCATAATATATATAGTTCTTTAGCTTTTAAATTATGCATTTATATATTTTTATAATTTATTCATTTTTTTCATCACTATTTTTTTTTAATAGAAAATTGTGCTTTGCATAATAATACGTAACAAAATGTTTTCAAAGTTGAAACATAATTTTTTAATCACTAGTAACATTTTAAAGTCACTAGTAAAGTGCACGTGCATCGCACGTGGTGATAAATGTTTTTTGCCGATGAATTCAGTAAAATTAATTGATTATTTAATTAAACATATCATTGCAGGAATGAAGTAAAATATAGAATAAATGAGCTTCTAATATTTTTTTAAATAACATAATGATGTCCTAATATAAAAAGAATGAAATAACATATTACAACTCCAACAAAAATATAGTCTCTAATGGAAAAAAAATACTAAACAACTAAATAA